CAGAAGGAAAGGAGGACTGAGTCAGCAGCAAGAGGGATTAATGTTAGCTGTGTGAATAACGGATTTAAAATTCTGGGATGGATTACTGAAAAAGTCTAATATCTTGCTTCAGTATGAGAATAACTGTTGAGAAAATGTGTGTGCTTTTTTGTTTGTTTGTTTGTTTGTTTTTGGGTTTTTTTTTGTTTTTTTTTGCTCTCACAGTTGCCAGGAATTTTGGCCTTGAAGGCAGGGAGATGAGATAGCTGCTAGAATAGTCATACCAACATCAATTCTCTAAAATTATCCCAATTACCTGACAATATAATAGTTTATTCTTATTGTTCTCACCTGGAATGCATTGAGCAATGCAAAAATAACATGCCACGCCATATTCTGGCTGTCCACCATTGTTCCTATGCCAAAGCCCCAGGTGAGCCCCAGCAGAGGGGTCAGAATGAGGAGGCTCTTCCCCATGCGGATGACAGTGGCTTTGTTGTCCTGACTTAGGCTTTCTCCAACAGCGGGCCTCCAGAGCTTTGTGAGAACTAAGAGCACCACAACCATATTCACAGCCACAATAGTCAGTGCAGGAACAGCGAAGGCCAAGAGGGGTTTGCTCCCATTGGACCAGTTAAGCCAACACACATCTTTCCTTATGTAGCCGTTGCTAGGTTGTGTGGCCGCAACGGTGATGACAGATATAATGAGAGGACACCCATAGCCCAGGCAGAACCCGACGGCCATCATCAAAGGCATGGCCATGTGATGAAACACGAGGACGATCCGATAAGCCAGCAGGACGCCAAGCATGAGCATCCAAAAGAACAAGGAAAGGTAGAAAAAGTGTGTAAAGAACACTGCAGCTATGCAGACTCCAGAAGAGTTTACCGTGGTGTCCACAGTGGCAGCAACGATAAACCAAACATCAGCAATCGAGAGGCACAGAGCTATGTTCACCATACAAATATGACGTGTGTGAGAGGTTTGACTTTTCTTAACCTGCTTCCAAAACAGAGCCTCAATGATCAGGTATAAGATGAGACTTCCGATAGAGATGCCCAGTCCCACAAAGGTGATCCATTTCACAACAGGAATGATGGCAGGGGGGATAAAGGGTGACATCAGCATAGAGAAGGAGGTCAGGTGAGTACACCGGCACATCACCGTGTCTGGAGTCTCATTCACTAGATGGCAGCCTGCATCGTTCCATTGCAAATGACTAAAATCCCAAAACACACAATGAGGTTGGCTCAGGTTTAACTCTATCTTGGAAAAAATCAGGAGAATTTCATTTACAGAATAGTTCTGAATAATCGTAGATATCACAGGCCCATTGACCTGAGCATTTCCATCTGGGGTAATGGGTAGAACATTCCCTAGGGTCAATGAGGCCATGCTGATAATGGTTTCTGGAAGGGACCCCTGGAATTGGTCTGACCCAATTAACACATGGGCTCTGATGGGAGTGAAGGTATTTGGGGGGAATATTTCAGTCTGATAGCTGTAACCTGTCTTATGTTGGCTATTGGACACTTGAATCCCTTTCCAGTTAATGAATTCCTGAGAAAAATTCAGAGGCAGAGCTGTTGGAGGTACCAGAGCACTGATGTTTTCCAGTGTCTCCAGCAACCGTGAGCCGGCATGCTTTTCTTCCTGTAGTAATATTGTCCAACTGGTTACTGCTGATAAATTAAGGATATGGTCAGCTATATCGATGACATCCTGAAATACAAGGATGAGAATCAGTTTGCATTTTAAGTAAGCTGGTAAGAGTAATAACGGTGGATCGTCATTGGTACCAAGTATAGGAAAATTGCCCTGAGAACTGGCTCAATTGAGGATCACATTAAAACTGGTCAGTGAAATTCAGCTCAGTTGCTCTGCAAGTGGAAGCTTTGAATTAAGAACTTGCGTCAGCAGAATCATAGAAGTTTCAGGGTGATCGCCTGAGAGCATTCATGTGTACTCCAGGGTTTCAGCATGGATGAGAAAGAATCCTGTAATTGGCCTGCAGCAGTGTGCATTTCCTTTCTCCTGAGATGGCAAACATGACCGCATTACTACTCAGTCTGCAGCTCAAAGAGCGTGACATTACTTTTAACTGCTTTCTCATGCTATATTTTGCTAGCAACACAAGTTCTAAATTCATGTCATGGATGTTCAAGTTTTAATTCACGTGTATTTATTGTTTTTGTTTACTAGAGGAGAACATAAAGTTAAATCCATAAAAATTGGACCTAAGCGACAAGGAAATATTGAATTATGGTGGGTTTTAAGGGTCAGTCTTAATTTAAGAGATTCTTTTTCCAAACAAGTCCTTGAAAATTGCCCCTCATGACTTTCCCCCTCATGATCCTCTCTCTTGCTTAAGGCTCTGGTTCCCAGGCATTCTATTGCAAGTGGCTGTCATCTGGCCGAG